GACCCCGACCCCGTCCCCGACCTCGACACCGCGTGCCCCTCTCCCTAACTCCGCCGGTGCCCGAGGTGAGCACGCCCTCCTCCTCCTCCTCCTCCCCTACCTCTGCCTAGCTAGGTTTCTTAGGGCTAAATTTCAGAGTTCATCTAATTAGTTAGGGTTCATCAAATTAGATGCTAATTATGGCAGTAGTTGTTAAATAGAATTAGTTTTAGAGTTCATCGAATTAGTTAGGGTTAAATTTTAGAGTTCATCAAATTAGTTAGGGTTAAATTTTAGAGTTCATCAAATTAGTTAGGGTTCAATAAATTTTAGAGTTCGTCAAATTAGTTAGGGTTAAATTTTAGAGTTCATCAAATTAGTTAGGGTTCATTAAATTTTAGAGTTGATCAGTTAGGGTTAAATTTTAGAGTTCATCTAACTAGTCTTTTTTACTGTTTTTTAGTAAGTGTTTAATAGAATTAGTAAGAAAATTAATATAACTAGTTGAACTAGTTTATTTTTAGTAAAAACTAGTTTATTTTTATTTATAGTAAGTGCTTAATTGAACTAGTTGAGTTAATACAACTATTTTTATTTTAATACGAAAATTAATAGAACTAGTTTACTTTTTTAGTTAAAGCAATTATTCCCGCATCGACGTCGATGATGCCTATCCCGCATCCTCGTCGTCGAGTCAGCGGAGGACACCTACGTCACCAGATGGGCCATGTTCGGGACTGGGCTCCACCGGGGTGGTACTGGGAGGCGCTACCTACCGGGGGGCGCAGGTTGGTGAGGAATCAGCCCGTCGTTGACCTGAACCTTCTTTAGTGGCGGTCGCGTGGCCCAGTGACGGTCTAAAGGCTCGTGGACCCCGCGAAGGTGGTGCGTCACCGTGTCAGTGAGGAGGACGCGCACGTCCGTCGCTACTTGTTTGCGTTGGAGCACAAGTTCTCCAATACACAACAGGTTCTCCAGGGATCTCACTGAAGCTATGATCCTATGATGGTTCCTTCTCTGTGGGTGTCCACCGCCCATGCCGTTACCCGTCGTGCGCTAGGGTTTTAGTTGTATTAGTGATGTTATATGTATGATACTATTCGGGATATATTAGTGATAATATTCGACGATGTACGGATGCATGAGATGATTTACTTTTGCTTATTGAATACATGCTAATTTAAATACTTATTTATTTTACGATTTGGTTTTGCTTATTGAATGCTCATGACAATATGAGTCCTATAAGATATTTTGAAGTGTATATCTTCTGTTGCTCAAATAGGATATGTGCTTGTTTGCAGGTTACACCTCTGAGTGGCCTATGTTTTGCCTGAGTGTTGATTCATTTCCGTTTCGGCAAATTTCAAGCGCTCGATATGTCCTATTTTAACAAAGGTCATGCCGGATTTTTCCGTGAATTTTGGCATGACTTGTGCCAGAATATGTAGGAGATATCGAGTGCCCCGGATTTGTGTGTTGAGTATCCTAGTAGTTGTCTTCGATCGATTTTCAATTAATGTTTCAACTATGAACATAGGAAATGTCTGACGACGAAAAGGATTTCGGTATTTGCAAATACTGCGAAGACGAGCGCGGCCTATGCGACGGAATCTTCCTAGATGATGATAGGCGCTTCAGCATCAAGCTAGATGAGAACTACGAAGTGGACACAGTAAGTCACAATGGCAAGTCTTTTTCGTAATTAAGCATGACATCTCCTTCATTTGCTTCAAATTATAATTTAATCTTTTTACTATTCTACTAGCGTATCCCCTGTCATGCAAGAGTTTTTGTCTTGGATAAGATAGGTTTGAGTCGTACTATGAAGGTAAAGAGAGTTTACTTGAAGACCGAGCATGGTCGTATTTTCCACGCAAAATTATACAATGCAGACGACTACACCTATTTTGGATGCAAACCTTGGCAAGTACTATGCATGACTTATGCATTTGAGTCTGACATGGTTATCACCTTTGATATTCGTCCGGAAGATGATATTGAAGGTAATATCGACATCTGGGTCGATGTGCAGATGCCTCCAGTTATACCATTATGTGAGTTTCTCAACCATATTTATGTCTTTGATATTGTTTATTCAAAAATAGTTGACAACTAATTTTTATTGTCAGCTTATTTCCGTTCAAGCAAACATGTCCAACGCTTGGTAGACAGGACCTACTACTGTCCCGGGGCTGAACTAAACTGCGAGGAGATAAGTCATTATATTTCATGGCTTGAGGATCTTCATACTTTCAAGACAAATTTTCTTCCTGCACTTAGAAATGTTAGTACTCAAAACGTGCGACCAATAGTGTTCGTACTGAACTACAGTCACATCTATTTAGGAAAAATGGTAAGATTTTTACTATTTGTCCTCAGTGCATTTTTTGCATACATTATTTTTTAAGCTAAACTTCATTGCTAAGTATGTTACTATACGATGTTCTTCAACAGGGACTCCCGATGAATGTTGTGCCTAATTGGATCGAGACTAAAGGTACTATGAATATTGTTAGCTTACGACCAAGATATCCTACAATGCACTTTAGTGCATTCAGGATTTCTAATAGCGATGAATGCTTAATAGTGAAAGACTGGAGCAAAATTGTGAACGATCGCAGAGAAGTACTAGGGGCAGCAATCAGAAGCGCATCCCACGATTAGGAGACAGGTTCATCTGCATGCTCCAACTTGATGAAGGAGGAGAGCTACACATGTTTTATGTTATTTTACCTGAGAGAGAGCAGCATGAGTGATTAGCTAGCTAGAAATGAATTTGAAGATGATGATATGCTACACTATGACTATGATGATTAAATAGTTAGTGTTGGTGGTAATGACTATGATGATTATTATTAACTAGTGTTGGTGGTGATTAGATAGCTACCGCATCTAGTGTTGGTGGTGATTAGCTAGCTAGAATGAGTTTGAAGATGATGATGTGCTACACTATGCTATGATGATTAAATAAATATTGTCGGTGGTAATGACTATGATGATGATTAAATAGCTTGTGCTGGCGGATTAGATTCAAGTGGAAGCAACATGTGGTGCACATCGAAAGTACTACTAGTCCAAACTAGATCATGTTTGGATTAGTAGTATACTTTTGACATGCACCACATATTGCCTCCACTTGAACCTAATCAATCTTCATTTGACACATTGTTACAGACATAATGATATAAACCTCATAATTGTTATTGTATCAAATTTTGTATAACGGCGTATAAATACACTAAAAATGAAAAAAAAGTATTAGTAGCGATGGAAAGTAAACACGCTACAACTATCTAGATTAGCAGCAGCGCGGGATAGAATAAGCGTTGCTGCTATGTGTCTTAGCAGTAGCGCTTGTCGCACGCGTTACTGCTAAAGTAATAGCTGTAGCGCCTTATTGATAGCGCGGCTGCCCGTGCTACTAGTGAGCATTAAACCCGGGCTACTACTAAGGTTTCCTAGTAGTTCTAGAATAAAAAAACTATGATGTCGACATGCCATCGTTAGGTGGTTGGGGAAGAAGAGGAAGCTCATGGTGTTGTTGTACTTAACAAAGGATTGATCGATGCCAGAGAGGAAAAGAAGGAAACAAAGAGATGTTGATTTTCCACTGGAGCCTAGCCTTGGAGTCTGGAGACTTACATCTCCTCAAGATGAATGGCTGGACGGGGGATTTGCACATCAGGCAATCGGGTGGTCTGCTGCTTCATCACACATTTGTGCGTGTTGCCCATAAGCCAATTAAGTTGCATGCCAATGACTGGCCAGCTCAATGGGCCGCACTACAATTTAGAAAACTGAAGGCCACACAGCTCGCACTCCCATGGGCTCGACCCTTAGTCAATATTCTCAATCCCTCCACTCAAACTTGTTGATACTTTGAGACTTGAGAGAGTAAGACCCGATCTACACTTAGAAGAAACCAATTCATGTTCCTTACTTGATTTCTTGATCAACACCTATTCAAAAGCATTTACTACTAAAATAATAGATGCCGAAATAACAGGACGATCTTCAGCTTTTTTATTATGTATTTTTAGACATGAGTTTACAACCCTGAATTTCGATGTACACAATCATCATGCCCTTAATTTGGGGGGGTGGCCGTCATGCTTGCCTAGGCCAACCCGTTGAATTTTATTGTGACGACGGAATAAAGCTTTGCAAGATTATCTGGAAAAAAACTGGTTGAGTTGTTGTGCCGCCACTTCCTTTTTGTGTGTGTGTGTGTCTTATTTACTCTTTGAAGTACTCTCTCTATAAAGAAATATAAAAGCGTTTAGATCACTTCCGAAGGGAGTAAGTTGGAACAGAGGAGAGCAGCTCGGGAAGAAGTGAGTCAGGACAGGTGTCTTGAAGAGGACAGATGCGAGTTTTGAGTCTTTGAGGAAGAAGAAGCCAACCTTTACGGCTTTGAAGCAGCCGACACATAACAGCAAGCACCGATACCTCCGCACAACATATCACCATTGTTCTTCTGTTGCGCATGCCCGATACCTTGCAGAAACGGGGAAGAAAACCCTGGAGCGGTTCAGAATCTAATCTCCCGACATGGACATGGGCGCATGGATGCTTTTTTTTTTTGAACAATCAACAGAGGGAGCTCCCCACCTGAATATATTTCTCAATCTTTGCAATCCATCGTGCGAGTGATTACAAAGAGGTGAATTACATAGGCACGTGTAAACGTGAGGACAGGTAAGAACGCCACGAGGAGGCGGCCTGTTTTTCTTCTGGCTTTCTCATCCGGTGAGTCCAGAGCATAAGGTCTTGTACTATGTTTGTGAGAGTGGTGATGCTGTAGTGGTCTTGCTGCCTGAAAGTCATGGCATTCCAAGAGTCCCAAATTTTCCAAAGAGTGATGAGCAGTACCAAGTTCCAAACCCGGTGATCCGTAGCGGCTGGAGTGGGGCAAGCCCAAAGATCCTCGATGCCACCGCTAGGTGTGAAACCCAGCCTTAGCCAGATGCGCTGGGCTAGGGGGCAGTTGAGGAAGATGTGAGATGTATCTTCACCATCGAAGCCACATCTTGGGCAGACGGCATCAGAGACAATATGCTTGTGCAGGAGGTTTATTTTGCAATTTAGTCGACCTTGAAACAGAAGCCAGGCGAAGATCTTGACCCTAGTAGGGACTCGCGACGACCAAATAGGGATGGAGTGGATGTCCTGTGAGTCATCCCTGAAGGTGAGGTCGTACGCCGCCCGCGTGGAGAAAGGGAGCATGGATGGTGAGAGCACATATGTACTGTGCGTACGCACCTATATATAGCTGATATAGAAAAGCAAGTGGGGATTGCAGAAACGAAATAAAAAGTTGAAAAAAGATAAGCGTCGACAGCAGGGATCGAACCTGCGCGGGCGTAGCCCAACAGATTTCAAGTCTGTCTCCTTAACCACTCGGACATATCGACTAATCTGTTTATAAGCGCACTGATGAGCTAAACAATGTTTGACATAATACATCTCTGGGCCGGCCCAAGCGCCAAATGGGCCTTAAGGCCGAGTCGGAGGGGAAAGAGAGAAGAAGAACTTCAAATGTCTGGACGACAGATTCTCAAAAAAAAAAAAGTCTGGACGACAGAACTTCCGATATCGTACACTCTAGTCTGTTCAGAGTGCTTCGAAGCGATTGATCCATTGCACCCCGGAGCGGAACCATATACAAGGAAGCTATTACAACACATCATCATTTACGGAAGAGCGCAAGCAATTTCGAATAATCAACTTTTTTACCGACGACTAAACTGAATCGATCGAGGAGCGTAGTCCATCTAGCCGAGGATTATCTTTCTCGTTCGTGCGTTGTGTCGGTCACATTTGCAAACCTGTAGGTTGCCAGAGCCACCTGCGGTACCGAAGAACACTCATCTCTGCTCAAACTTACATGTTCAGAAATATAAACTGTACGTTGAGACAGAGGATAACCGAATGAACCTCTACAGCGAACGATTACTCGCCTGCTGCTCCTCTAAAAAATTAAAAGGAAACAGAAGATCGCTCGCCTACTCGTGGACAACAGTTACTCTCACGATCTCCTTCCCCTGCTTCTGCCATTCCCGAGGAGATAGATATGGCAGGAGTATATTGTTTGCAGACGCCATCGTTCTCCTGCCGTGCTAGCTAGCTTTGCCTTGCTTTGCTTCCACGCAGCAGCCATGTCGAATCGCCGGCTCCATCCCTCTTTACCTCCACGTCGCCGGCCCCATCGGCCGTCGCCTTTCGCTTCGTGTCACCGGACGCTACGTGCCGCTACTGGCTCATGCTACTGCTGCAGCATTCAATCCCTAACCAACTGCTTAACCGCCCGCCCAACTGCCGCCTGCTCCTGCCGGCCGGCGGGCCGGCCCTGCTGTTCCCGAGGCGATGGCTACAGATTCACGGCGGCAGAACGAACGCAGGGCGGTGCGCCGGTGGGGCGGCAATGGCATGGGCAGGGAGAGGAATAAACAGAGGGCCTGCTGCTCCAGTGGATTACCAGAGGAGTGAATCCTTCAAGTGCACCGTCAGGCACACTCCGGAGGTAAAGAAATGAATGTCGTTGGTCTAATGATCTACTCCTAGCTTGGATGTGCGCAAGATCATTAATGAACGGACGACCTAGATTTTGTCATCCCCATGTCGGGCTACTCCTAGGCCCTATCTTACTTGCATCAAGAATCGGGAACCCAAAAAGATTCACATTTTTCGCGATGGATGTGGTAGGAGTATCATCTATCCACAACAAGGCAACACGGAACTATGCATGGCACCGTGCGCACATCAATGCGAGCGGGGCAGACCTAGGTTCAGATTCGCTGTTCCTCGTTCGTCTTGGAACTTCTTTTTCTAGCCTCGATGTTATATTTTCTTCTTGTTTGGCTTTTATCTGCAAGTTGTAGACCTTCGGGTCTTATCTGTAAGGACGCCATGTTTCTAATTTGTAGTACTTGGTGCTTAAATAACACGCATCGATGCACATTTGCCAGAAACATGGTTATACTCGTTGGATGTTAGATCAAGATTGACATAGATTTAGATCTAAATAAAATCTAATAAATTTTTTTGCACGAGAGAAAAAAGATGACCAACCTTCATGGCACCTTAACTTAATTTTATTTGTAATAAGGACTAAAAGAAATGCCGGAATTCGAAGAGCGCATGAATGAAATGCCACCTCCACGGGTACATAAAATGATTTAAGAGAAACAACATGGAGCCTAGACCCTGCTCTATTTTGACCCAATTGATTAAATTAGTTGTTCCTACAAGCATTCTTAAGTGGGCAGTGTCGTGCCCTGATCCTGCAAGCATTGAAGGCCCAGCGTGCCGTTAGGTGAAAAGTCCAGCTACCCTCCGCTAATCCACACATAAACAAAAGAGCTGATGGCCTTCTTTAAAGACCATCCGATGACAGTTCATCGACCACAGTACTGCATTGATGCTCCATGCACGGTCCACCCCTGTGTGTAAGCAGTGTACGAATCGAACCCCACTTCCATTAACAAGTTAACGACACCATTAGGCTTTTTAATGGCGATCATTAGATTAGCTTCCCCCAGATAAAGGAGGTCGAAAGCAACTCCATGCATCGATCTGCAGGACCCTGCAGTGTATGTGCAGCAGGTAAGCTGCGTAGCTCTTTGAAATGTGTCTTTTGTTGCTCTTGTTGTTGTGCAAATGATGTATGTTCCCCTGCAGAGAAAATAAATCAAAAGGGAAGTAGTATAATGGACTCATGACTCAACTATGTAGTGATCTTTTCTTTTAAAAAAATCATGTTGTGATCTCGAAAAGAAAGGAGAATATAATGAAGGACTCAATCATGTTTGTTTGTTTTTTGTGGGGAAACTTCCGATCTATTTATCCATTGTCAAGTCAGTTTAATGAACACCGAAAATAACAACAATTACATCCAGGTCCATAGACCATCTAGCGACGTGCAACTATGCTTTATCTTAGTAAGGTAGTCTCTGTTACTGAATTTGTGATTCTGATAGTGAATACTATGATAATTATCGTATAATTTTGATCCTATTAAAAAGGGCCACATAATTACGATTTTACCTGTCTTCGTCTAGCTTGTTTCTATGTCTTCATGGCCATTTTTCAGCAGCGGATTTAATAATGGTTACCCTAGTATCATCATCTTTTTTTAGCTAGGAAAGTGTTCTTTTTTAATTTTCTTGCCGAGAAAATATTATCATCTCTTATCATAATTACGCAACCACTAAGATTATAGGAGACAACAAATTCAGTACACTGTTGTAGCCTCGCGCGCTCGTGCTACAAGGAGGCCGGCGAGAGAGCGCGACGGTATTGGTGCACATAATACTACGTATTTAATCGCTGTGCTTTTCATAGCAGCTGGGAGGATCCAAAACAGAGATCTACGTACGTCGTTGGCTAGGTCTATCCATCAGAGAATTTAGTTGGAGCAAGCGATCGACTACGCTCCAGTACTACCAATGATGGACCATGCATGTCTAAATCCAGCTTCCGTGGGCCAAAATACGGAGCACTTATTATGGCCGATGCATGGGATGGGCTCACGCTCGATAATTCTAAACACACGGACGATTACGGGGTCTCTCTTCTAACTAATCTCTGTCCCCTCTGATTTTCAGGCGGGGGTGGGCCCCTTCACCTGATTTGATCCAATCAGAAGATCCCATGCAAGCCTCTCCGTTGATCCCGTAATACCCCGTCCATGTGTGTAGCATTGCTCGCTCACGCTCCACGTAGGCTCCTCACGCGGCGAGGTCTGTCGGTATTTGTCTACCAAATGCTAAACTGTTTCTTTTTTCTGAGAATCAAATGCTAAGCTGTTTTAGACGAGTACCGGCGTTGGTGTGCTACGCGTCTGTCGGCTTACCTTTTTAAACATCAGCCCAGTCGCGAGTATCCGCCGCATCGAACGGCCGAGCGCGCCTCCACCATTGCTTCTTGCATAATTATTTTTACAACAATATTTTTATTGTAAAAGAAATGCAACCGAGGGTTTGTTCCGGAAAAAAATCCGCAAGACAGGTTTTGATGTAAAATATAGAGCCGTCATAGACCATTGCAACATTGCATATGCTTCAAAAGCATAACCCCTGTTGCGGAAGCACGTTTGACGAAGGATGGTATGAGAGCACTTGGACGCGTGTCATGCAGAAAAAAGGTGGCAGATGCGGCCGCTGCGATCCACCGGGTGATGGCAAGTGTTTCCCTAGATATATCATACCCACCTTATCATCACACGCACAATATATTGAAGATTGACGATACCATCACAAACGCCTCGTTGTTATGGAACTATCAACTTACGATGTTTCTTTTTTTTTAAACATCATATATTAATCAAGTAAGATTAATACAATCATTCTTGACATTATCCTGTCACACAAGACATAACTCTACTACAACAGGATTTGCCGAGCTCCGACGAATGAGGGGTGATGATGGTAGTGCTCGAGCAAACAGGATGGAAATCCCAAGCCGACAAAAGCACCTCACCGGAAAAATTATGAGCCACAATCACAATCAAAAGTTTAGATATAAGGACCCTCATAACTGACGAACGTTCGCCACAGAGGGTTGCATACGCGAACGTTCGCCTGGCAGTTTCAGTGGATAGGAAGAGGGGAGAGGTGGCAGTTTATTAAGGCGACATGGCAGTTTCTCTATCAGAAGACAATTTTCATTTAAAACTACAATTATTTGATCTCGTTTTACAACTAAAACTGCCAGCAAAGATGGTTCGCTTGCCAACCCCCCTACAGTGAACATTCGCCAGCTACTATTATCATAAATATAAATGTCACGATATCGTTTTTATACTGTAATTGCATATTACTGTAGTATAATTGTTGGTCGGAGTTTTTCTTGCCTAATCAAAATACAATGTTGTAGGGTTTTTTTGTCAGAAAACAAACTATTGTGATTTATGCTGCTGTCAACGGCCTCTGTGATCGAATGCCACTAGACAGAATTTCTCAATATGAAAAAGCCATTCTAAATACTATTAATCCAGAATTAAAAAATCCTTCCTAGAAAAAGGTGGCTTAACTAATGAAAGAAAGATGGAACTAGATGCTTCTCTAAAAAAAAGCACTTTGCCTTACCTGTGAATTAATAAAAAAAGGTTGCCCCTTACTCGCAGATGTAGGAAGAAGCCTCGCCAACTGAACCCCGGTAGGCTATTTTGGACTTTTTCACATAATTATTACAGATGGATTTTCGTGACATGTGTAAACCAAGCTGCTGAGAGTCTACCGCATGAGTTTTTTTAGATCTTCTTTTAGATGAGATCTTTTTTCTTAAGATTACTCATAGGTATTAAACTGTCTGATGCAAAATTCCAGGTTTTCGCAGGTTTTATGTACCACGTTCTCCCATAAAAAGGTGCACGATGCATCTACAATTTTAAGTTATCATATTTCGCCTTTACAAGCATATTTCATTTTTTTGCAGGAAGCGTATTTCATTGGTTAACTATAAGGCAGAACCGTTACTAATATTTGATCTTTTCTGTGTGGTTTATAGGATGCACAGATTGTAAACAAAATTTTAATTAGAAATTTCATGACGTTGCTTGTATATCGTAGTGTGGATTGCATATTAATGAAGTAATTGTTGGTAAGAAGCTTGCCTTAGCTAATCACAATGTCGTATGCAAGTTGTGCATATTTCAGATAATTAAGATTTTTGTAGTAGGACCGGTCCATCTGGATTTTTTTTTTGAGGGTGGTCCATCTAGATTAAGTTGTAGATATATCATGGACGCTTTCATTATTTTGGAATTATTGAAGATTTTTCAGTGATGTTTATTTGTGGGAGATGACCCTTCCGTCGACTACAAATCGCCTATGTTGACCCCATGATTTTTACAATTTACTGGTTCAGTCGCTTAAATGTACTCAGATGAATAACTGTGTGTGTTCATAAGGTGAGTGTTCGTGTGTATATGAAGCGATGCCGTATTTTTGCAACGGGTAGAAAATAAATTAATCCTGCTTAGCTCATGGATCCAAACAGTGCGAGGTCAAAGGTCGTCTCTGCATCGTGGAATCTCGGACAGCCGAGCAGTAACAAAAGTAATCAGATCAGATACGTACTAAGGGCATGTACAATGGTGCTATCTTAAGAGTGCCACGTAGAATAAATGATAATGTGAAGGAGAGAGAACTCATAAGAAAAGGCTTGTCTTCTCTTATTTAAGAAAAGACAAGAGATGATCTCTTAGCACAATATGTCTCACCACATTTTTAGGAATGACTAGTTATTGAAGATAAGGCTAAGAGATGATCCATTGTAGACTTTTTTTTTGTCATATCTAAATTACATGCAAGACTTAAGATAAGACTACCTTATTAACCATTGTACATGCCTAACAGCAGCAGCGGGAGACGTGCAAACGGCCGGCCAGCACACTTCTCATTATTAATCCACCCTCTCTCTCTGCTGCCGACGAGCATAAAACCCCACACTCGCCGCGCATCTCAGTGATCACTTCCTCCTCCTCCTCTGCAAGACTCCAGCAACTTGCAAGGACGCGACCCTGCCAGAGCAGAGACACGTCGGTGCATCCATCCGTCCATGGCGGCCACCGTCGGCAAGGAGAGGGAGGAGGCGGTGGTCCACCCGAACGCGAGGCAGGGGGGCAAGCTCCTCTCCAGGCTGCTCACCAGGGACAGCTCGGCCGCCGCGCCGTCCTTCCGGGTCTACTACGGCGTGGCCTCCGCCGGCGCGGTGCCGTTCCTGTGGGAGTCGCAGCCGGGCACGCCCAAGAACGCCGTCTCCGACGCCGCGATGCCGCCGCTCACGCCGCCGCCGTCCTACTACGCCGCTGGAGGCACCGCCGCCGCGAAGAAGCACGCGGCGCGCAAGGCCGCCGCCGGGGGCAAGAGGTTCAGGCCGTCCCGCATCCTGGGCTCCATCCTCATGGCGACGCGGAGGCGGGGCCGGACGGCGCCCTCGTCGGTATCGCCCACCTCATCCTTCTCCTCCGGGTCGTCCTCGTCCTCCTCGACGTCGTCCTTCCGCCGCGCGGGCGGCAGCAGCAGCAGGCTGCACTCGTCGTCGTCGTCGTCGTTCTCGGACGACGAGGAGACGGCCATGGCGACGTGCTTCAGGGTGCGGCAGGAGAGCTTTCGGGCGCTCAAGGGCTGCCGCGTCGCCGTGACGGTGAGGAGCGCGCTGGCGTCCGTCGGCGGCGGCCACGGCGCCGCAGTGCAGAGGGTCTAACCGCACTGAACTCGCCGTGTGCAAGGACGCGCGTTGATACTACAGTACTTAATGTCGAGTGGAGTTTTACCCAAGTCGTGTGTTGGTTTTGGTTAAGCTTCTGTAATGCTGTGGTAGTGTATATGAAAAATAATCGATGAGCATGGCTATGCATGTTCACAACTTCAGATCAGATCTCTCATCTCCATTTGACCATTTTTCATCATTTATTTGTGGTTTTCTTTTCTGTTAGGAATAGTGTTACTCCATGTTTGAGTAGACCCACTGAATAACTCGAGTGTTATCCTGGAAAGTTGATTTCTTCTTATGCTGCTGGTGTGTTGGTTGGGACATGAATGCTCAGCAGTGTTGGAAACTGACAGGTCCAGAATTCGTGGAATAAACAATGTCTATCAGCCGAACAAAAGATTAAAGAACCCTTGCAGCCTGCATGCCAAATCTGTGCTTTTCCTCTCTAACGAAATTATTTTTCTGGCGCTGATCGGACAACTGTGTGAGCTGAAAAGGAAAAAACTCCTTGCTTAAAAAAACGAAAAGGAAAAAACGCACGCAGAACTGTTCTGTACTTTTGTGGGATGTTTGCTGCAGACTGCATCCCCTGTCATTTTCCCTGCACACACGAGAATTGTTTTCTGCATCCTCGTAGTTGCTGCCATTTGTACGCTCTCTCAAGCGCATGAGGAAGAAGTAGAAGAAAATCATGTTTGCGTAATTCAGAAGAAGAAGAAATGGCCACTGATTTGATGCTCTAAAAGCATCCCTCGTCAAAAACACGTGCGGGGTAAACTGTCGCTTTAGCGCGCGCGGGGCGTTTTCGCGCGCTCCAGCGAAGGCGGAAACTAGCGCGCGGGAAAAGGTTGCACGCGCGGGAGGAAGCGGTCAGCCGCGCGCTAGATTTGGCGCACCACTTCCGGCGCGCCTATAAATTGAGGCGCTCGCCACGCGCCCCCCAGACTGCCACGCGTGCTCTCCCCGCCGCCTCCGCCGCTTCGTCTGCTGGGCTTTCTCACCTCTTGCCACCGCCGTGCCACCATGTCGCGTGTAGACGTCATCCTCTCTCCTCTTTTCCCCATGCCTGCGTCACTCCTGGCGGCGGCTCAGTCGGAACCCTAGCCGCCACCGCCCCCTCCCCTACTTCCTCCTCCCTCGCTGTCGCTGGAGGACGCCGGCACGCTAAGTCCGGCCGGCAGATGGCGGCGGCGGGGCATTTCCTCGCCCTGCTTTACGCTCTTGCGGCAGGGGAGGTTCTGCTTCTCCACGGCCTCTGTGCGGCGTGGCGTCGCCGGCGCCGACGAGCCTCCATAGCGCCGTTTGGTGGCTCTCCTCCGGCAGGTCTCGACGGGGTGGCGGCCCCCTTTTCCTCCTGTCCAAGCTCGTCCGTGTGCTCGTCGTCGGATGTGGCAGCTTGCCGGATCTGGCCAACTCCGACTGGTTCTGGTCCCATCGGAAGGCTACCCTGGCTGGGG